TTTTTTTTTTTTTTTTTTTTTTTTTGCAATACAACACTCTAGGGCAGCATAACAACAAAGCTTTTGGAATACAACTGTGCACATTTTCACACATAATATTTTACTGGGGCTTCAGAGGCTCATTCTCATTTATACACCTTAAAATTAAGTGACTACATTTTAAATTTGTTCTGGAAACACTTCCTATTTCGACCACGCAGCATACTGATTATCAGAGCATCAAACAGGCTCACAATGATCTGAAACAAACAGGCTCAAAATGATCTGAAAACTCATGATTAAGAGGCTCACAGAATTTGAAGAAAATATTTAGTAATTAATACTATATGAATGCAGCAGATATGAGGCCTACAAGAAAAATGCACTGAAATGCCTGCCATTTTGAATTGATCTTTTATTGGATTTTTAATTGTTTTGTTAGGTTTTAAGTGCTGAATCTGAGACTAGAAAGCAAAAGCCACAGCTACAATTATTATTAGTAAGATTAGAGGAACACCATCTCTCTAGCAGAACACTAAAAATTGCATAAAGGTAAAAGATTTCATGACACCTATAATTTGAAGACACTAGCCACAAGAATTGGTTGGTTTTCAGATTGCAGCAGTTCGGCCTCTTTAGAACTGTCAATCAAAAATTAACTTCTGCAGTATCCTGAAGCAGGGGATTTATTCAAAATATTAAGCTTAAGACAGATAGCTTTTCAGTGAAGCAGTGTCAGAGTACTTGCAAATTCCACAAAGCATCCTCTGAGGCTCCACTCTCTCATCCTCAAGGTAGTGTTGCCAACACATCACCTGCCATCTACCCAGAGGCTGCTGTTAGAACGACCTCCTCAAGCTTCAGAGCTGATAGAAAGAACAGTCCATTATTTCACTTAAACTTCTGCATCAACATTTAGATATTTAATTACACTTGTACACCACAAAAGGATCAGCAACTTGCCAGACAGACATCCCAGTACTGAATAAAATACTTTCATCTCAATACAAACAGGTTAATACATGCTATATAAACCTCTGTGGAGCCATAATAAACACTGGTTATCAGCAAGACTCCTGACATTTTCACCATAAGCAAGGAAACAGTTTAAGCAGTATTTTATTCCAATGCCAAGGGGAAGCCAAAGGAGATCTGGAAAATTCTGAGACCTACACTAACATAGTTTGAGCCCGACTCACACAACCATGCTTAAAAAAAAAAAAAAAAAAAATTCCCCACCTCGGCACTTAATCAGGAATGGGTAAAAAAAAAAAAAAAATCCCTATTCTACTTGAAACATGCTTTCTTCACACTAACTTGAGCTTCTGTTCTAGTTTCACTACCTCCACATTCAGCAGAAACAATGTCCCTACAGACTCAGCTTCTCAGGATGCTCTACAGACCTTTATAAATTACTACTGAGCATCAAAAAATTTAAGACACTAGAGGAAATCTAAAGTCATGACTCAAACTGAGTTGCCAAGGATACCTAGCTAAATTTATAAAGTTCAAGCTTTGCATCCAACTACTCACCAAAAACACTGACAAAACATCAGTAACTTTAAAGCATCCTCTAGATTTCTGCTTAAACCACCATTGTCCGTTTCACATAGTATCACATTATAATTTTCTATCAATGTCAATATAGAGCAAATCAAGATGCTCATGTTTATACTGATTCTAAGCATTCAGATGTTTACAAAACACATTGAATTTAAGTGAAGCAAGACAGAAGTTTTTCTGCAATGAAGATTTCAGCCTCAGTTTAAACAAACCTCCCAGCGCCTTGAAAGAGAACTTCAAAAAAATCACTTGAAACACAGAGTCAATAGTTCTGACAAACTGACCTAGAGAAAAGCAAGAGTCCTCTTATGTGGCACCCACTTTAAACATACAACCAAAATTATCACCACTGTAGGGATGCGCTGGGAAGTCAAAAGGGGCACTGTGTTTCTGCTTTGTGGAGCTGCAAGCCAAGCACATTAGAGGACAAAAAAAATAAAAAAATTAAAAAATAAAGTTACTTGTTACAAAGTCAGCCAGTGGAAACACTAAAAACAGAGGGAAAGCTTCAAGTTTTAATTACAAAAGCAGCGGGTCTAAGTTAGTTACCAAATGCTAAGGAACTTGTTAGAGAGCAAGCAGAAAGTATTCTGAAAATTGCAGCATGTCTGTACATGACTATGTTTTGAAGAATTGAAAATGTCACTCAAACATGGAAATATAGAAATAAACTTTCTACTCTAACCAGCAGGGGCAAGGCTCCATGTGGAGTTGTTGAACATCTTACTTCTGGTATCACTCATCTAGACAGCCTGAAAGCAAAAATCTTACTCTTACAATCTAGGGAACATGACCTACACACAAGGGCTAGAAGAAATGACCTGTCTTCTCATGCTGTTGAGTCCAATAAAGATTCTGCAGTTCTGACACTGATGTAAAAACAGAAGGATTACTGAGTATGCCTGAAGGACCGGACAAAATAATTTCATGTTTTCTCAGTGTTTCAGTTTAAGGAAGCTTTTTAGGTAACAAAGACAATTAAACAGCCTGGTCAAGTTGGTAAACATCCCCCACCTCCAGAACAAGTTAGGTGTTCTGCTATCAGACTGAAGTTGTTCCTGCATTGCAGCAGAGGCCTGATCTGCACTTAAGGATCTTACTGGCTTAATTCCTATGAAATTACTAATAACCATATTAAGTAATCACCTGGTCCTCTTTCAAATTCTTGTCAACTGATAGGACACACATGGTGACTTTTTCCATTTTGCATTATTTTCTCAGGAGTTTAGTCCAACAATTTACACTTACAATGTTTGCACTCAAGCCCCTAACTTCCTGGACTTCACCAAGTCTGTTTGAGGGCTGCAGATGACATTGCCTTAAGTTTTCTTTTCTCACTCCTCTGATTAGTGACCAGCTGATATACTTCCTTTAAAATCCACATGTGTTTTGAGATTATCACAGTTTGCTTTGCAAATCAAAAAACTAACAGTTGCACGTGAAGGCAACAACAAAAAGTGAACTTGAAACATCTAACCACTTATTTTAATGCATAGCGAGTACACTTCAAAAAAATGCTTATTAATTAAAAGCTAAAATTCTGTGTGCAAGAGTCCTAGTGTTGTCAGGTGACATGTATTTACTTGTGAAGATAAATCACTTTCCATTACTTTTTCACTTTCAAGTCGTCTGCATTTGACATTTAACTTGAATCTTATGTTCAACCTATTAAATTATGTAGTTGCTCAGTCACCATGCATTTCCCAATATTTGCTGCTTTTATTTATCTCCATCAAGCTAGTCTTATCAAGAAAGACTTTTTCAGAGGGACAAGCTAGCACACAGCAGGTAACCTATTTTATTTCCCTTGTATTCCGATCCAAAGTAGGAATTCAGCTTTTGTTGTGTATTTTTAAAGCTTTAAATTCTTCAAAGCTCTACAACAGAGACCACAGGAAAACTGCTGGCACCAGTCTGTCCCTAACTTAGTGATTCTGACATACTCAGATCACTTCTTTGGAGACAAGTTTTCTCTTCCTCAACCACAACTAAGACTTGGAGAATTAGCAGCCTTCAACTTGGAAGAATAACTCATTCCAAACATGTTAATCAAAAAGTCAAGCTAAAACCCTATGCTTACAAACAAGTTTAGCATTTCTTGCTCTGCTCTCTCAATGTCTCCTCCCATGTCCTAGGCTCTTGTTCCCAGCCAGCTGGGATGACCTGCCCCTGGACAGGGCAGCAGGTCTCCCTTGTACTGGTGGGCCCGCAAGTTAGATAGTGCTCTAGGGGTGGTCTCTCCCATGCCAGACAGAGGGGAAGGAGCACTTCCCGTGACCTGCTTGATTGCGCTCCTGCTAGAACAACAGTATGCAAGGGCATAGTACTGACCCAGGCTCTATCTGTTACCTACCAGGTCTCTGTCTCACAAGCTGCCTTCTGGACAGCTAGATCTGAGCCTCCACTGTTGCATGGGGCTGTGCCAGTTCAAATGCAAGACCTGGTGCTTTCCACTACTGAATTACATGAGGTTCCTGCCACTTCCATTTGTCAACCTGTTGAGGTGCGAGTAGCAACCCTTCTCTCTAGTGCATCACCTGCTCCCCTAGTTTGGCATCATCCATGAACTTGTGAAGACCATATGATCTTATCTTCCCAGTCATTAGTGTAGATGTGAAATAGTACTGGCCTCATTATCAACTACTCAGGAATAACAATAGTCATCAGCTACGAGTTGAACTTCATACAGCTACCACCACCCTGTCAGTCTGACAACTCAGTCAAATTATTATCCACCCTCTCTCCCCCTTACCAACACGTATCTCGGTCTCATTACAAGAATACTCTAAGAGTCAGTGTCAGAGGCAAGTAAGCAGCAGCATCTGTTCTCTCCTTGTTCATTCAGCCATTCATGTCATTGTAGGAGGTAATCACATCAGTCATGACTAGATAAAATCTGCACAGGCCATTCCCAACCACCTTTCATGACCTTCATGCACTTAGAAATGGCTAGGGGTGTGATTTGCTTCCTAATCTTCCCTGGGACTCAAACAAAACTGACCCTGAATCCTTAGGAAAAGATAGTGACATTCGTCTTTTTCCAGTCATAAGAAACCTCCCCCAGTTACTACTATTCACTTATCTTTGAAAGGTCATTGTATCAGCTAGCTCTCTCAGCACTCAGACACACCTTTCCATGGTCTTGCCTACGTCTATTAGCTGCTGTACTTTCCTCTATGGTAGCATCATGTTTCCACAGACTTCGTTAATAGGCTCAGGGAAGAGAAAGGCCAAATCCCTTCTTCATCTTTCTATTAATTTTTTGTGCATCTAAGCTCAGTGAAGAGCTTCCCGTTCATCCACGCTGACCCTTTCTGCCATGTCTGCTGAACTTCCTGCATACTACAGCAATCTGCTTGTAATCTGAAGAGGTTTCCCTTGAAGATCAGTCAGTTGTCATCTCATGGCAGACTGCCTTGGGCAAACAAGCTTAAGACAAGCAGATCCCTGAATACAGCAAAATCTTCATTTTTTCAGTTCAGTGTTATGATTCTAGTTCAGTGTTGTTTCAGTGTTAAGTTCAGTGTTATGATTCTATCAGTCTTTTCTCACTATTTCAAGCTCCAGATTCAAAAAAAAAAAAAAAAAAAAAAAAATCACTGCAGACCAGACTGCCCTTGACTTTCAAATCTTCAGCCACTTCTTTCTTACTTGTGCTTAGCAGGTCCATAAGCAGGGCATTTCCTCCAGCAGTCCATGACAACCCGCCTCAAAAAATTGTCTTCAATACATTCCAGGAATCTCCCAGGTGATTTGTGCCCAGCCCTGCTGCTCTTTCCAGAGATGTCAGGTTGCTTCAAGTCTCTCAAAAGCAGCAAAGCCTGTGATCAAGAGGCTTCAAGCTGTCTAAAGTAGACTTCTTTTTGATCAGGCCACTAGTTGCAGAGCCTTAACATCTGTTTTGGTCTGTTCTCTTAACCTCACCTATAATCTTTCAACCAGCTTGTTGCCAATTGCCAGACAATCTCCATTCACTTCAGCTGTTTTTCTGTACAGTATAGTAGCTCCTTCTCACCTTCTTACCTGCCTTTATTGAAAAGCATGACTACAGCTAATTGCAGTACTAACCCACCTCATCTCTGGAATCCACACAAGGCTACAGCTGCAGAGCTGTGCACAGATCTGCAATTCTTCCTATTTATTTCCCATATGGGGTGCATCTGTGCAAAGACACCACAACGGGATCCCATTTTGCTGCCTTCACAGCAGGGGTCCTCTGCAGCATAGTCTTCTCCATCTTGATCCCCAAACCCTTCATTGCTTCTTATACCTTCACTTATCTTCAAAATAGAAATCATCTGAAAACAGTTACACCACTAGTTTAAAGCCCTCGCACAGGTTAGCAAGGCTTTTGGAAAAGAAAATCCCACATTACTTGCCCCCCCTCTTGCTTTCTCCTAAAGGGTCTATTAGTCAGAAAAGTCACAGCCTTGCCTGCAACATCAGCCATGCTTCTAGGCATTCATCCAAGTACGCACATCCACTTTGAATCACGTCTTTCTCCTTTACTTGGGGTTATTGTTGGGATCACAACCTGGGTCCTCAGACTCACAACAATATTCTGAACCCCAGCAGGAGCATTGGTGATCACACGGATATCAGTGAAGGAGAGTAGTCAGAAGGCTGGACCCTGCAGTCTCTGGAACGTGCCAAAATCAAATGTCCAGAGATAAAGAGTCCTCTTATGACATCAAGTCAGATTGGCAGAAGGCTGTTGCCGTTCCCCTGCCTCAGGGGAACGTCTCTGATAATTACCAACCTCCTTTGCTTTTCCATGAGGTCACTAAATCCATTATACAGAACACCATGCTATTAAGATCCATTAACTCACATGAGTATAAAATTAGGTGCAAACATGTGGAAAAAAGCACTAAGCAATTTTCATTTTTTCCATCTGATAAATAAAAGTTTCAGACTAAGACTACAGTTTCAGATACACTCTCATCATTGCAAAATCCAGCTAGCAGCCAATAATCCTAAGGTAATAAGCTTTTTTAAAACAGAAAAAAAAAGCTTCCATAACACCTTTGAGTTAATGCTTTTGTGAAGGACAGTCAGCTCAGCACTGTGCTGATGGGCCTAGCAAACCCTGATGAAGAAATGACTCATGGAGTTAGTAAAAGCTTCACCTTGCATGCTATAGGAAGTAGTAGCTGACTGAAGCGTTGCCACAACTAGGGCTTCCTGCTCTTAGTTCCTTTCCATTCTAAGGAACCTTCTGATATAATTAGGACATGACTTGTATACATGCAAACAATCTTTTCCCTACCTCCATCATACTATGGTAGCTATGGTTATCTTTTTGGACAGTAATATCTGATGAGCAAAAAGTGTTCTGGATGAAAATGTACACGTTATAGCATCTGGCATTAAGCATAGCCCACCACTTATGCAACAAGTTGCTACTAATCTCAGTCACCACCTTTTCATGCTGCTTCACCATATCAAAACCACAGAAAACTCCTGGAGAGTTCTACTAGTAGCACCGATTTTGACACTAACAGTTCCTCCAGTAGAGGAAAGTAAAGGTCCCCAAATGAGTTTTTTTTTTTTTCCCCTCTCTCTCACACAGTTTAAATCAGCAAATGCTGGTTTAATTCAGACCCATCCTCAAATGACATTATAACTTCAGATGGCAATTTGGTGAATACGATAGCAAATAATTTAGAGTCAGTAAAGTGGTAATAAAATTTTGGGTCTGGGCTGTAACTGCTGACACCTTAGGGATCAAGTGTCAGTACACTAGTGTGCAATGCTCTCCTACAGGAAGGGGACTAGACCTTCGATTCCTACAGAAGTACTTACACCCTTAAGTAGGAAGTTACACCTCTTCAGTAGTCTCGCCCATTTTCGGACCCTCATTCTAGAACATAGAACACCTAGCCTAGCAGTAACCGAGAATCGAGGGAAGAGAAGGAAAGGTAAACTCCATATTATTTAAAGGGCTTGCCCGTGACTGCTAAAGCATAATCTTCCCATGTTCATGAGTTTGTAAAGTTTGATTACCTGCCAATACTTAACAGCTGCAGCTGTACCATGAAATGCAAAATGGACAAATTCTGTGAGGAGCAGCAAACCATAAAACATGATGTCTAAGTGTCAGCTGTTCATGACAAGATCCGATAAGAGTGACACATTACATTATAAAGTTAGGAGGATGCCAGTCAGTCACTGCCTTTCTGTCACCACTTACTTTGTTTTTGCTCTTAAGGCTTCTTCACCGTAAATTATTCCAAAAAGCTCTTCTTTTCCCTGAGACTTGCACCTAACTAGGTGATAGCTAAGCACATAATGCTGTGTAGTAGCTGCTGTATTATCGGCAAACCATATTTTCAGTATTTGTCGCACTGCCAGCATTGCTCTGAGCTTTGTGTTGTGAACAGTAGTGTTACTGGCTACTTACTGAACTAATAGAAGAAATGCAGAAAAACAAGCACATCTTTAAGACACTCTCTAAAAGTTATTACTTACACAAAACAATGGGATCCAAACAAACTGCTCAATAGGAAAATATTGTTTCAAGCTTTCTTCAGACATTTTAAGCTTAATGTAGATGTTATATGGGAGTCTTTCTCTATTTTCTTCCTATAGCATTAGCTCCTGCCTACCCATCCACAAAAATCAAGACTCAGGTTGGAACAGATTTCTGGATGTCACCCACTACAACCCCCAGCTCAGAGCAGGATCATCTTTGAAGTCAGATCAGGTTGCTCAGGATCATAAGATAGTCAAGTTCAGAGAATCTCCAATGAGGGAGATTCTACAAATTGTTTCAGGGCTTTACTTTTTTTCCTGGTATTTATACATATGACTAATATTTTATTAGCATTTCCCTTGTCACAGCTTGTGTATAGGGAAAGGATGAGAGGCAATAGAAACATCTGAGAGGAGTCTGGCTCCACCACCTCCCATTAAGCAGTTGTAGCCAGCAATTAAAGTCCTCCCCTTAGACTTTTCATTTCTCAAGGATAAGCACACACACACTTATCGGCTTCTCTTCATATATCATGTGCTCCAGTTTCTTTATCTCAGTGGCTCACTACAGAGGTATCAGCACATCTTATGTTGGTGAGCACAAAAGCAGACACAGCTATCCAGGTGACACCTCTGAATAAGCTCTGAATAGAAGAAATTTGTTTCCTTTGGCTTCTGCTACCACCACCCAATATGCCCTTCACCTTTGACATCACACAGGCTGACCCACAATCACACCCAGACCCCTTCCTCTGGGGACTCCTTTTCCCAAGCTGGTACCACACCTTTTCTGCTGCATGGGGTTATTCCATCCAGCCTTGGTTTTTGCCTTTTTTTGAACTTCCTGAGGTTCCTTCCAGTCATTTCTCCAGCTTGCAGATACCCTCCTCAACTAGCCCTAGTCTCCCACATATTAACCACCCATCCCAGTCTGGAATCTACAAGTGCTTTACTAGCCTGAACAACAAGTTGGAAGACAAACTGTCCTAGTACTTACCCCCAAGGCATGTCACCAGTAACAGGCCTCCAGCTGGACTTTGTCCTCCTTGAAAAACTTACTAAGGTCACAGTAACCGATACTTACTCTTTTCCTTTGTGTAGAGGCATGCCTTAGGTAATCACAGCAATCAACACAGGACCTGTTTTCAGGGCAGCCTCTCAAATTGAGAGCACACCTTAACTCCTTTTCCTCCCTACCTCAGTTTTCACCTTATTTGCAGCCACATGAATTTAATATACCTAAGCATCAAAAGGACCAGCTTGGAGAACACTGCTGGAGAGTAGCGCCCTCAAAATCTGCCACTGAGTGAACTCTTGCCAACAGTCCCATGTTGTTCCACAGTCTGTCTTTTGCTGCCTCTTTCAGGGCAGCAAAAGATCCGCAGCAAAACTTTAGAAGGTCCTACAATGGCCTTGCATAAAACTTCCACAGAATATTCTGATTTGTTAGTAGGTAATTTATTAAAATGCTTACATGAAGACTTTGACCTATCAGTGAGACCAACTTGTAGTACAAAGTCTTACTCTTTGACAACCATGAACTTAAGAGTGACCTTAGACATGAACAAATCTACAGAAACTTGAACTACCTCCAATACCAAAAACTCCTGCAACAAAGCGACAGAAGGACCTCTATGAATAATAGACTTCTTCCCACATAGAACATCCTGAGCAAATTGGTGTGCTGTACTTGCTGGTACACTGCATTGCCAAAGGTAAACTATTTAATGCCAACTTAGCCACTAAACACATCAGAGTTTAACAAGAACATGCTTAAATATATTAAATTGTGTTTGATTTGTTTAGATCTATAGGGCCAATTACGCCTTTTAAAAGTCTCAGTACCTTAATCAAGTCATAACAACACTGTTTCCATTTAAAGAAAATTTAGCTTTTGAAGTTATGAGTACATGAAAGTGTATGCACAGCAGTAGCATGACTGGAGAATGGACAACTGGTGGGTTTTTGCAATTCAAATATTATCAAGATTTACAAATAGGCTCAAAGACGGAATTATTCCTAATTTCTCTTCACTTTTGCTTCATCAGTCTCTAAGAGAATTATTCCTAACTTCACTTTTGCTTCATCAGTCTCTAAGATTTAGCAGAGTCAATTAAGTATACTTTTTTGTGGCAATATGGTCAAGAGGGAAAGAATTAAAAGTAAAGAAAACAGAGAATCATAGTAAGAACTCTCCTACCTGCTTGATTTTTTTTCTTACTCCAGGTTAAGTTAGTACAAGCCAAAAGTTGTAATGCCTTAGTTAACATTTGCTGTTATGCAGAAGTTCTCTGCTTTCAATGACATTTAAGTAACCATCTTTGATTCAGCCAGCAGCTGCTTTACTGGGTGATGTACATGGACAAGAACTTAGCAAAGCTAGTTACTCAGCTTGTTTACAAACTCAGCTTTTTCAAGTCCTATTGCCAGCATCCCTCCACCTAATTATCACCTTCTCAAATGTGCTTGCCCCAGGAATAACTAGTATTCAGCTTAATCAGAGGCTGAGCAGGCATTATTGCAAATAGAAAGGAAACAGAATGCCCTCGAAAAGCTGGATTAGGAGAAACTTAAAACAAGCATTAAATTTATAATCATCTAACCAAGGGCTAGTGAAAACAAGAGGTCAGAAATCAACTCTTAACTACTAAATTCATCAGGACAACGATTTGTTCCACCCATCTCTATGTAGATCTGTTTGACTAACCTTTATCAACCTTTTAATAAATAACATTTTTAGCAAGGGATTGTTACTTTAATACTTTGCAATTCTGTACATGCTACTGCATCACAGCAGTGACACTAACATCCTCCAAGAATCCTCCACTTCTAAGGAAAGCATGCCTGCCTAGACCAGTGTTAGGAAAATATTGAGGACAAGTTTAAGAACTACCACATTATACTGGCATCAGCTAGAAACTGATGAGTCCCATGAGACATAAATATAATAAAGTACTTGGTGTTTTTTCTTTTCCAATTTTCTTTTCCTGCAAGAATCATCTACTGCTGAATATAATCCTAGTACTCCAACCAACTTGAGACAAACCAACTCTTGGGTAAGCTGTCACACCGAAAAGGTGAACACATACCATCTTAGGGTATTAAACTTAAACTGCTCCTACTCCCCTACATGACATTAAAATCAGCTGAAACAACACAAAATATTGAACAGGTATTATCAGAAATTATTTTGTAGCATATTAGTTTTCACTACCTGAATTAACAGTGACCTTCTTACTATCTTAACTCAAGAAATTTATTCCTGAAAAAAGCCATAAAGTTTTGCCTATTTCATTTCTCACACTTGGAGAATATAGGTAAACAAAAGACAGAATGGAGACTGAAGTTTAAAGACTCTGAAGGTTTTTATCCTTGCTTCTATCTTCATACAATTAGTAATTCTTACTGAATGTTCTACTTGTGAATTAATATTTGAAACAGCCCCATATCTTAAAGGTAATTAGCTGAAGCAAGAGGAAAATAACTTGAGACACTGATTTATCAGATCACACACAGGCAATTTTATTATGACTGGAAGTTTGTTGTGTTATATCTTGAAGTTTCTCACCATGAGCCTGTGTTTAAACACTTAATTTAGCAGCCAGCACTGGCAATTCACTAACAATCCACAGGCTTGTCTTATTCTCAGTGATCCTGAAGAAAAATACAATCCCAATATACTGACTGCAGGATGACTAGTTACATCTTCAGATATATAACTTAATGCAACTTACAGAGCTCCATACTTGAGACAAGTTCATTTTCTTGGAAGTTCTCTAAGTTTTTGCTCATTTTCCTCAACTCCCTCAGGCTCCCTGCTGTACAACTAGAATCACAATTTAATAGGCGAGAAGGAATTAGAAGCTAGTGGAAGTAGAATTCAAAATAAACAAATTGCTAGTTTCTATCATTCTTTGAAATCTCCTATTAAATCTACTCACAATGCCAAAAATCCTCAGGTGCATAAGAAATCATACCTTCTGTATGACTATTTAGCATTTTGGCATCTCATACCTGAAGTACAAGCACAAGCATGATAAATGCGCACCATTATCTAGTTTGTGTAACAGACACCTGTTATTCTTGTAAGCTTATCCAAAGGTAGGCCATCAAGGCCAGACAGCACATAATAGAAACATAAATACCTTACAGCTTCTCTTAAAAGTAGCTTTAATACCTATACAGCTGGGAGATTAACAGCATATTCACATAACACAAACATAGCTCTGATCAGCTACTCACATAGCTTCTAATATGCCTCTACTCCTGGCTCCAGGTTCTCTTCTCATACAATCAGCACACTCCGGACACTGTTAGCTCACAAGTGTAATAGGGTAAAGCCTGAATTTTGGCCAGCTCTCTTTACATTAGAGAGAAATACCCTATCAATGAAAACACGCTATTCTATTTGAAATTTTTACAGCCTGGGGTATTAAAAGCAACTGTCCAAGTAAGAATCCGTACTCCGAGTCTGATTTCTATATATGCAAAAAGTACCTAGAAGTCACTCATACACAACTCCTCCCCACAACCAACAAGCAAAGCCCTCAACAATACACAAAAGAGAACAGTAATTAGATATTTACATCTATAATCATCCTTTGAGTACAGATAATAAAATCGGGCCATTTAGTTAAGCATCCAATTACCAAATCCATAACAAAACTCCTCACAGTGGTCAAAGACGCCAAAAAAAAAAAAGTTCCAGTAGTCCTGATCCAACACAACACTGTCGCTCTAAGGTGGAAACAAGAAGTCCAAGCAAAAACACAAACGGTGCTAGCACAGAATGATCTGTTACCACACAGATGACCTTCAAAAGACAAAACAACTACAGAGTAACTGTGTAAAGCAACATATATCAGCACTCTTGTTGAACTGCA